GAGACCAGGTTTGTCGATATTGATTATAAACAGAAAGAGACCAGGTATATCCACATGGAACCTAGACTGAATTAGATCATACACAAGGATTCTAAATAGAGCGAGACACGGTACATCGATATGGATTCTAAACAAGTCGATACCTTGTATGTGGACATTGATTCCAAACAGATTGAAACAAGGTATGTCTACATCGATTCTAAACAGAATGAGACCCTGTTCATCGACATGGATTCTAAATAGAGTAAGACCAGGTACATCGACATGTATTCTTTTCAGATTGAGACCAGGTATATCCAGATGGATTCTAAACATTGATACCAGGTACGTCTTGATGGATTCTAAACATGTTGAGACTAAGTTTGTCGACATTGAACTAAACAGAGTGAGACCAGCTATATTCACATGGATTCTAAACAGAGTGATACAAGGTACGTCGACATGGACTCATTTCAGAATGAGACCAGGCACATCCACATGGAATCAAAACAGAGTAAGACCAGGTATGTTTACATAGATTATAAACAGAGTGAGACCAGGTACATCGGTATGGATTCCAAACAAGTTGATACCTTGTATGTGGACATTGATTCCAAACAGATTGAAACCAGGTATGTCGACATCGATTCTAAACAGAATGAGACCCTGTTTATCGACATGGATTCTAAATAAATAGAGTAAGACCAGGTACATCGACATGGATTCTTTACAGATTGAGACCAGGTATATCCAGATGGATTCTAAACAGTGATACCAGGTACGTCTTGATGGATTCTAAACATGTTGAGACTAGGTTTGTCGACATTAAACTAAACAGAGTGAGACCAGTTACATTCACATGGATTCTAAACAGAATGAGAATAGGTTCGTCGACATGGATTCAAAACAGATGAAGACCAGTTATGACAACATGGGTGCTAAACAAGCTAGGACTAGATACGTCGACATTTTATTTCAGACATATGCATATCGAGACAAGATATAGCGACATAAGTTCGATACGGATTACGACCAGGTATGTCGACATGGATTCGAAACATATTACGACCAGGAAAGTCGACATGCATTTTTAATCGGTTGAGACCAGGTTTATTGACATAGATTCTAAACTGGTTGAGACTAGATTCGTCGACATGGATTCAAGACATTTAGAGACCAGGTTTGTCGACAAGGAATTCAAACAGAATGAGATTAAAATGTCGTTTGATTCGAAACAGATTGACACCAGATATGTCAAGGAGGAATCTAAACAGATTGGGGCTAGGTCAGCCGACATTGATTCAAAAATAAATCTAGACCAGGCACGTCGAAAAGGAAAGATAATGCGGGAAAATATATAACTGCATCATCTAAGATAAGTCACATGCAGCAGTAAGCTTCAAAGCCACATACAAAAAAAGCAAGACATTTTATTAGAATCTTTGACAATGTTAATATGTAACTTCTAAATTCATATAGAAGGTGCAGAAAATACTAAGGAGGCAATAAAAAATCACAAGAAGAATCTTAAATATATAAATGTTTTAGCCAAGGGCTATGGCTGATGGTATCAAACGAAAAAACTTATATCACGCATGTTTCATTTATCTAATCTTTATGTTCAACATCAAGATCAGAAAAAAAAATCTAGATATTTACTTGATATTATTGTTGTATATTTATAATCAACTGCATAGCTGCGACCGTAAAATAGGAATATAAAGTAACATTTAGGTATTTGCTATATGTACAAATGTATCAAATATTCATAAATTATGCTGTATGGTGTTAGATATCGAAGATGCAACATGGCAGTGATACCAGTGGGAAGTGCAGAACTTCACATGGGTAATGCCATATATTTAGACAGCTGGGTGTGCGTCTTCAGCTTTACATGCTTCTTTGCCTTACCCCTTTAGGTAACAGTGAAAAACAGTTTGAGTAGGTCTTAATTTTATCATGTCCGTTAAGTTTTGAAACGATTCTCTTTTTCATTTTGTTGAAAGGTTCATTATTGCAGTCATGTTGGTGAGATCATAGTTGATGGGCACAGTTTTGTAATTATAAATCTTGGTGAGGACCTGCAGTTGCTTAAATATATCTCATGTTTATATAAAAAAAAATATTGGTACATTTGCAAAAAAGTAATAGTTATATAAAAAGTCATATCAGACCACACAACTGTATCTATCAAAACTTGATTATATGGTAACATTTTTATCTTTTAAAATTTATTTCTTGAGAAATTGTAAAAAATCAGTTTAACTATATGAACAGAGATAGATCTAAGAGATACCATTATATTTTATATTTTTACTTTGCAGTATGCAATTGCTACACTACTCAGACATGAAAAGTCTAAACTTGTTAGTGTCTGTGGGTTTTTTAACGGGTTGGTCGGTCAGCCCTATTCCATTGGTGATCAAAACATATTTGGTAAAATCAACATACAAAAATTTATCAACAGCTGTAGGAACAAAATAAAAAAAATCTACATCATTAGTTCAAGGTTTTCATCAATACGTGACATATAGTAACCTAATAGGACAAGGCATCAAAAGTCACCGCGTGGTCTCCAATGATGCACATTCAATGTAAACAAGCATTTAAATGGTTCAAACCCGTATGGTCACCTGATTGTGTTATTTTTTTTATCTATCCAACTGACCTTAAACTTCACATCTTTTTATATTCATAATAAAATTAATAATATCAGCGTATGATACTGATATCAGTGAAAACTAGTGTTGCTTTCAAATAACCATCGTCTGGTTTATCGAAACTAAACATTTGTCTTGTAAATTAATAAATCATTTAAGAAAGCGTCGATTAAGAAGACATATCGAGGTAACAAACGCAAACTGAAAGAATCGCATAAGCGTCTCCTGATATGCATGCATCAACCTCAATGGATGAAGCTGTAACTATTAATACCAAATGTATATCTTTACCAGCCATTTACACTACAAAGTCACTATATTCTGAAAAGATAAATATATGTCTTAAATTGCATGAATTTTGTCCTAAAATTTTGAAAAAGATATTTTAAAAAGTTTGATAATGTCTAACATCTGACTTGTTAACAGATTCTGTACATTCTGATTATCTTGTAACAAATTCTTAATATTTTAAATATGTCTTAACATACTCTCAACTCAATGTAACATCCTGAATTTGTTAACAGATTCTGAACATTCTTATTATCTCGTAACAAATTCTTAACATTCTAAATATGTCTAAACATACTCTTAACTCAATGTAATATCCTGAATTTGTTAACAGATTCTTTACATTCTGGTTTTGTCTCATTGTATTTTCAATATTCTGATTTGTTTTTAACAAATTCTTATCATATTATAGATTTGTCTTAACAGTTTCTTAACATTCAGAATTTTTAAAAACAGATTCTTAACATGCTGAATTTGTTAACAAATTCTTAACATGCTGAATTTGTTAACAAATTCTTTACATTCTGATTTGTTAAAATATTCTGTACATTCTAATTATCTTGTAACAAATTCTTAACATTCTAAATATGTCTAAACATACTCTCAACTCAATGTAACATCCTGAATTTGTTAACATATTCTGTACATTCTGATTATCTCGTAACAAATTCTTAACATTCTAAATATGTCTAAACATACTCTTAACTCAATGTAACATCCTGAATTTGTTAACAGATTCTTTACATTCTGATGTTGTCTCATTGCATTTTCAATTTTCTGATTTGTTTTTAACAAATTCTTATCATATTATAGATTTGTTATAACAGTTTCTTAACATTCATAATTTTTAAAAACATATTCTTAACATGCTGAATTTGTTAACAAATTCTTTACATTCTGATTTGGTCTCATTATATTCTTAATTATGTTTTATTTCTTAACAAATCCTTAACATTTCAAATTTGTCCTAACAGTTTCTTAACATTCTGATTTTTACAAGATAGATTCTGAACTTGCTGAATTTGTCTTGTTATGTCTTACAACAAACGAGCGTCTGCCGTGCAAAATTAAAAGTATCTTTCATGAGTTTTCTTACATTGTTTTCTTAGATTATTAAACAAATTATCAAACAATTTGGCATACCGACATTAGAAAAAAAAGGAAAATTTTGGGACAAAATTCATTTTATTCTCTATAAAACTTAAAGTCTTTATCTAAGCAATAAACAATTATAATACAAATAAGGAGATATGGTATGATTGCCAATGAGACAAATATCCATCAAAGTTCAAACGAAGTGGATGTAAGCAATTATAGGCAACCGTACGGCCTTCAACAATGAGAAAACCCCATATCGTATAGTCGGCTATAAAAGGCCCAGACATGAAAAATATTCAATTGAGAAAACCAACGGCCTAATTTATAACAAAAAAAATATAACAGACATGAACAAACGATAATCACTGAACTACAGGCTCCTGACCTGGGACAGGCACATAAAGAATGTGGCGAAGTTAAACATGTTTGCTGCATTTTTATGCACCTGTCCTAAGTCAGGAGCCTTTTGTTCAGTGGTTGTCGTTTGTTGGTGTGGTTCATAAGTGTCTCTCAATCTCGTTTTTTATATAGATTAGACCTTTGGTTTTCCTGTTTGAATTGCTTTACGCTAGTCATTTTGGGGCCCTTTATAGTTTGATGTTCGGTGTGAGCTAAGGTTCCGTGTTGGAGGCCGTACTTTGACCTATAATTGTTTACATTTTAGTCATTGTGACTTAGTGATAGTTGTCTCATTGGCACTCATATCACTTCTTCTTATTTATATTGTGAGCGCTCAACATTCCCCCTAACCTGGGACAGTTGTGTTATAGTACAACATAAGAATAAACTATCAAAAACAGTTGAAAAGGGCTTAACTCATCAGATCGATACAAAACAGAAAAACTTCTAATAAAAACACAGACACAAAGTACAGATCTGAGAGTATTCGCAGTTACTGACAGCTAGTTCAAAGCCAAACACAACTAATAAAACAAAATCATGTATCTAAGACTAAAATATCAATCAGTACAAATCCAACATCCAACTGATTTATTGTAAAGACGTCATTAATAGTCAGAGAAAAACATGACATTGTACAATGCCAAAATAAAGTTATCGACAGTTTGTAGTACAGTGACACATTAGGTGCATATGTGTATAACAATAATATTTAGTATGGTTTTAATTAACTGATAACAAAACCAATATTTATACCAATAAAAACAACATTCAAAGATCAAATTAGGTGTTGAATAGGTAACCTTTTGGAATAAGTTTATTTAAAGAATTGATAAGTTTACCCGGATCGTATCTAAATTTCCGGGCTCGGTAATCAACATTATCGTAAAATTTAGGATGTGCTATTCCGTTTGAAATAAGTTTTCTACAGGTACAGCCAAACTTGCAAAACCAAATCTTTGTGTCTATGGAAGAATTTAGTAAAGGTTTTAAGTAGTTTGTTATTCAATTCATTTTTTTTCCAATTCAGTTTTCCTCAATTCTTCCATGATTTAGCTAAATGGTCATTCCCAAAACTCCTCAGAACATATTTTTTTTAAAGGTGTTTCATGTATGAATGTTTTAATTATTTCAGCTTTTAATTTTTAATTCTTTAAACAAAAATTAATTCCTTAATTTAATGCTTGTTTAAGTCAAACTGGTCCAATTGTTTTAAATGCTACTGCATCATTCTCAAAACCAAATGTAAACAACATAAATGGTTGGTCAATGTTTCGATAACTGCTAGGTTAAAACGCACAAATAACTCACAATACATGTGCAATGGTTGTCTGCCTTTTCAGCCAGGTATGTTTTATATGAAATGCATTTGCCTTTAAAGGTCGAATTAAGTTAAGTTGTTTATTTATTATCTTTAGTAGTCTTTTAAAGATACTTATAATTTGATGAAAAACTCTTATAGTTAATGTCGTTTGTTTAGATCTGTAACAATAACTATATTTTTCCGTTATCACAAAAATATCTAAATATACTGCCGAAAGTATTCACAATCATTTGTTATGTTGTTTTGTTCACAGATAAGCTATTGCTACATTTTGAAACAGATATTTTACAATCAAATCACATGTAGGTAGTTTGATCTTCAAGTTCAATTACCTCGTCTAAGGGTAGGCAAAACATTTCCTTATTTAAAATAGTTCTATCTGATCGTATATTAGGGACATCGGTACTATTGTCCTCCGTTTCCGTTGATTTCGTTATTGCAAAGACTGCATCGTCATCTATCAGGTCATCATTTGCCCCCATTTGCAAAAGATACATGCACAAATCCCAAAATGTGTGCTTAGCAGCAATATGAAATGGCGATGCACCATGCACATCAATTTCATTATTAACACTCGATCCCTTTTCAATTAAATATTCTACAATAGCTGTATGACCTCCCTTACATGCAAACATGAGAGATGTCCATCTTTTACTACTTCTAAACATAATATCAGCACCGAATTGACAAAGGTATTGTACAATATCAACAAACCCATATCTACTGGCAAACATGAGCGCTGTATGACCGCATTTATCAATAGAATTTACGCTAGCTCCTTTGTCTACAAGGGAACATACCATTGAAAATTTTCCAAAACTGCACGCCATCATTAATGGGCTAAATTGTCTGTTATTTACTGTATTTACGCCGAGTTCATTATTATTCAAAATAATGTCAACGATATATGAGTTGTTTCCAGCTTTTGCTGCTGAAAGCGGCGTTAACTGTCGATGAGAAGCATTGCAGTTAATACTGGCACCTTTTGATAGAAGTACCTTGACCATTTCAGTATGACCATAGTAACTAGCACATACAACGGGTGTATAGCGAAATTTATCAATACTGATAGATGGCGTCTTCAAGTTTTTGAACTTTTTTGTATATTTTGAGAAGAAATTTTGTTCAGTACAATAGGCCAAATCTAACATGGAAATTAAAGAACCCTGTATACTTTCTGCGAATGAAATCAAATCAGAATAATTTGACGCAAGGATTTCAAACAATACTTTTCTACCAATGTGAGTATCCTTAAGAATGGATTTCAATAAATCTGCATTACAGTTGAGATATCGAATCAGTTTATGTCTGTATTCTGGACATTTCATTTGAGAATTTCTGAATACGTATTCTGATCTGTCTTCTAAAATGTCCTGCATCATCCGACTGAAGAAATCTACCTCATTTTCAGTTCTTATAATAATTGGAGCTTCTTCTGTTGACGCTAATGATTCAAACCGAGTTCGTTGACTTAATAACGAACTAGTTGCATATTTAATAATTACATTTTGAAAATGTAATCCACAGTGATGGCACATGTAATCAACAAAAAGTTTGGCATGAATTGGTCGATAAATAACCATGTATTTTCCGACGTTGTTGTGATAGTATTCAGTCTTTAAAAATGTTCCAACCAATGAATCAAGGTGCATTTTTATAACGGTTTTAGGTGTTTCACGAAAGATACCACAATCTTCGATAAGATTTTTTAAATGTTTCTCATGTTTTTCTTCATTACTATCTGTGTCTTGTTTATCTGAAAAACGTAATTCCCCATTACAAAGTACAATTAAAATAATTGTAAAATATTTCATTTTGTTTTGGTCTTGTTTAATGCTATCAAATTCAGACATATAAATGTCAAACGGGTTTTCAAAAAATTTAACAATATCTTGTTGTGTATCTTTTCTATACAAGGAGCACATTAGTGGAAAGAAATCGCATTTGTAAATAGCATTTCCGATCGCGGGTATCAAATCTGAATCCAAATATTTTTCAAATATTGATCGTTTCTGGTCTGGGGTTATCAAATTGTCCGTAAACTCAATTGCACATTCTTTTAGGAAACATATTCTCTGAAACTGTTCCTCCTTGAAAACTTGCAGGCGACACGACACAATAACTTTGACGTTCCTTTCCCTTGCAATCCTCATTAAGAAAGATTCATACCCTAGCCACGAATCGATTACATCTTGTATTGCCGAATATCTGCCACAAACACCATCAAACACAAACACTTGACGTGCATTCTTCTTAAACTTCTTTTCTATGTCTTTAGGACTACGACATGGAACAATTTCATATTGACTTTTGTCTTGTAATACTAATGCCACGTGATGTATTGTTGCTGATTTTCCTATTCCGGATTTACCGTATACAGTTATTACATTGTATTCTTCCATTTGTTTTATTACGTTTTCACAAAGATCTGTTGATACAAACTTTTCGTCAATCTTTTTCCATTCCTCAATTTGAACTATCGATGCACCTAAAAAAAAAATAAAACAAATCAAAGATTCATAAATGCTGTTTTTATTATAGATATACAGCTATATAAACACCATGTAATTATTTGATCTAGCATTATTGATCTATTATTTCGTATTATGTCAAAGGTTTTTGATTGCATTAGTGTTACAATCTTTGCTTTTCTGTGCAGTTCGTTTTTACACAGTATTTTGTCTGTTTTATTACAGTAGTTTGTCTGTTTTATCATTTTTCTTTAACAATGGTATTGTCTTTTGTTTTTGAACGTAATATGCATTTTTTGTTGCTCTATTGATGTCTTCTATCTCTCATTATTTTTGGAGGTCTGACATAGAAAATGGAACCAAAGTGTGACCATTATTTCAATATAATATAATAATGCAACACTGCGAAAAATAGTTCTATGATTACATAGCACCATTAATATATGTTTATATATAACGTTCAAATAAAATAAATGGTGAACAGAAATAACGAAAAACAATAAACAGTGTAACTGAAACATTAACCACTAACAAACTTAAAAAAAGAAAGACAAAATAAAATGGAACAATACATGATTCAGTTAGCCTGACATGGTACAGGAACAATATCTCATTGGATTTTTTAACCAGTTTAATTGCGCAAAAACATCCCCGTTTTCTATCTGAACCACAAGTCATAAACGTAACCACGTTCAAAAGAAGAAAACATAGCATCATTCAGCAAACGACCACTAACTAAAATAAGGAAATAAAAAAAAATACGTAATTAGGAAAGAAGGGTCAAAATGTGCTCGCTACCACATGATGTTAGTTAAGGCATTCAAGGAAAACACAACTTTGTCCGGTTAAATACTGTTTTATCTTTTGAAATTGGTTTCGTACCTGTCGTAAGATGCCCTTTATAGCTTGCTGTTCGGTGTGAGCCAATGCTCTGTGTTCAAGACCGTAATTTGACCTATAATGGTTTACTTTTACAAATTGTGACTTGGATGGAGAGTTGTCTCATTTGCACTCATACCACATCTTCTTATATCTATTGGAATATTAGATGTGAACATGAATAACTACAAAACGGCGTTTTACACATTGCACGGATATTTATCTGACTATGACCTTTGACCTTAAGGTAAAAATATTTGATTTATTACGAAATGTTAATCAAAATTTACAATGAAAAAAGTATTTCTGTGTTAATTTGAAGGAATGTCGTTTAAAAAAAGCGCTAATGTCCTTTGTCATTCTTTTGAAAAACCCAAATATCCATTAAAAAAGTGCAAATGTCCATTTAAATTATATAAATGTCCTATCAAAAAGGGGAAATATCTGTTTATAAAAATCACTTGGCCTAACGTTGTTATTGTATTTTTATACATTCAAACCTTATTTTTAAGAAACTTAAAAGACTTACCATTAATATTAGAATTGTCATTTTCGAGTCGTAGCTGATCAATCTCTTCCTTTGCCAATTTTATTGTGTTCATAAGGGTGTCTCTATTGTCGTCATTAGAGCCTGTTTCGAATGTTGAAAATTTCTCAGTGAACTCACCATTTCTTTTGTCGAGATAATCTTCCATTCTTTTAGCAACACTTTGGAATTTAGAAAACCACTCTGTCAATTTACTATCCGTTATTTTACACTTTCCTTTATGCGCAAATTTGTTTCTGTACTTCCTTATCCGTTCTATGTCATCACCAACAGACGTTTTAGTGATATCTGGATACCGCCCCCATCCATTCGTTGGAGGGGGATTGTGTTTAAAATTTTCAGTACTTTATAACTTAATTGTATATCAAAGTGTTCATAGGTTTCTTTTTTTTGCAACCTTTAAAATACGGTTTCTCTCTCTTTGTTCCAACTGCTGCCACAGACTAGTTTTTTTTTATATGACCGGCTATCATGTGATATGGCGCTTTAATTCTTAGAAGTTCATTCAAAATTTCTGCCATCAGATGTTCTGCGGCATATGTTACCCTTCTAGCGTTAATTGTAGTTTTATTGTTTTTCGAACGACCAACAGTAGCCATTGTCCTCAAAGTGTTTCAATCATATACCTGAAAAAAAATTAAAATTATTTTTAACCCGAAACAAGTTTATATGCTTGGCATAAGTAAAGACACTCGCCTACGGTAGTTTCTAGTTGCTTCGCATCTCGCTGCGAAGTTATTAGTTTCAGTCCATATAAAAAAACATCTTGAAAAAGAGAGGCGAAATATACTAGAGGGACATTCAAACTCATTAGTCTAGTCGAAAATAAACTGACAACGCCATGGCTAAAAAAGAAAAAGACCAACAAACAAAAGTACAAAAACGACAACATATAAACTGAGGACTGAGCAACACGAACCCAACCAAAAACTGAGGGTGATCTCAGGTGCTCCAGCAGGGTAAGCAGATCCTACTCCACATGCTTTGAATTATTACTTGGTTGATTAATTATGCGGCTACGATTCTATTTGCTTGAATAAGTTATAAACTTGTGACCACGTCAGAAAATGAGAAGAACATATTTTAGGATGGTCATGAGTTGCATGGTGTTAATACCATATCACCAGTCACCAGTCATTACAAATCATGTATAGCTTTGTTCACTGGTGTGTTGACTCAATACTGACCGATATGTCATAATAAGATATTCATTCGTTAAAAGTAATTTGTTGAACTATCACATTTTACTATTTAACTATTTAGAAACTACGGGTCTAAAACGGCATATTAAAAACATTTTTATTAAACAACAAACAAACAGGTAGTTAACGTCAACATTATAGGTGTAACCCTCGAAACATGGTCAATTTAAAGCATCAATGTATGGGTTACTCTCACTGTGTACGTTAGGTGAAAATGAATTCGAGACAATCAGTTTACTCGTATATTACAGAAATAATTAAATTCTTAGAGAGTTAAGATATGCAGTCAGAATTTACAGTAACTCGTGTCAGTCTAATCAAGGAGATCCGAATAAAACCTATCTCGTCTTCTGGAGGATTTTTTTATTTTAACTACTAGTATTTTATGTTACATTTTACTTTCACAGTCCCTTATTCGTAACCCTAAGAACGCAGCCTGTTCCCTTTTAGGTCATTTTGTATCATATTAAATCATCAAAAAGAAATAACGCAAAAACGAATACTGAAGTAATTTATGCTACTGCGAAACACTCCAAACCTTGGAAAAAGTTAAACTTGTTTAATGTTTACGCTTTATTATTCGTGAATTTGGTGTAAATGACAAACCTTTGACCTCTGTTAAATTTATTAAAACAACTACCACTGTGTAAAACGCCGCATGTTGTCTACATAAATGTATGATACGGGGTGGCGACAAAAAAGTGAAAAACAAAAACGTTCGAGCTAAATAAGAGTGGTAAATTTTAGAATAGATTTGTGAGTGCCAAATGCAATATTAAACAGAATGAATCGACCAACGAGTAACCTCCTTTAATCAAAAGCAGTTCTCCGGTTTCTCAAACACATCTACTCAGCTTTTCCGTCTACAGATTCTTAGACTTTTGGATGCAAGTGTCCTGATAAAAACTAATTTTTCAAGAAACCCAATTCCAAAAAACAAAATTTAAGGTAATATTGGAGTATTTCAATTTCGAACTTTGTTTCGGATTGACAAAAGAGAGGCAAAATATATTAAAAGGACATTCAAAGTCATAAGTCGAAAATAAACTGACAACGCCATGGCTGAAAAAGAAAAGACAAACAACAGTACACAAAACACAGATGATCATAGTGTTTTTATTTTATTAACAGCGTTTTAACCGATGAAATAACACGTTTGATATGCTAAAATAATAAAGGAACTTCTTAAAATTACAGCGAATATTGTACTCTACAGGATTGTAATAAATATAATCATTTATTATGTAGCTTAACATATTTACATTTTCTTTTCTGTTATGAGTGTTGAAAAAAGCATTTTTTATCGTTGTCTTTTCAAAATAAACCATCTATTTTTTTTTTCTATTCATCAAACTGTTTATCTTTTTTAAAACAGTCGATACATATATAGAAATAAAAATATGTACAATGTGATGAGACAACTATCCACAAGAGACCAGAGAACGTTGCAGTGAGCAACTATAGATCACCGTTGGCTAAAAATAAGCAAAACTCATACATTATATTATAGGACTAAACGCCTTTCTAAAGGAATTTATTGGTGTATAAACTGGACCAATTCACTCACAAACAAATAGTCCAGTTTATACACCAATAGATGTCTTTGAAAAGGCGTTTAATCTTTATAATTCTTTAAAAGTGGAGATAATTAGTTAATTTCCCCACCCGTAACCTCTATCACGCGTTAAGTGTATATTTGTGTCATTGAATTGGCCTGGCGAATGAATATATTTTTGGTTAATGCTAAAAAAATGTACTAAATGAAAGTTGCTTTCTGATAACAAAATAAACTACAAAAATATCTTATTATCATTCAAATAAATGTTTTGTGTGTATTGTGTAATTTAACGACGAATGCGAAGTGAAAATACAACTTTTTAACATCGAGTTGGTTTGTGTTATCATCGCCGCAATCTTGTTCACATTGGTAACAAAAAAAAATTCCGTCAACGTCGCGTCTATCTTTTTAAACCTTGAAATTCGCGTGTCTGCAATGAGAGGCGTTTTATATTTCAATGAATATAATGTTTTCTGCACACAAAAGTTTTACAGCTGGTATAGATATAAGGTTATTAACATTTTTAACTATATTTGTAAAATAAATGTTAAGTAGTGCAATTCCACGTGCACTTCACAGTTACGAAAATAGAGAAACAAAACGTTGAATTATTGATAAAAGATTTATTTTAAATCAATCACCAGCAAAAGAGGTATAGGAGGAAAAAAATGTCTTTTAAAAAGCATTCCTAGTAATTGTCACCATAACTTAGCGGTAGTTTTAAAAAGCTATAACAATATATAAGCCAAGAAAAATAATACTCGTGTCATGAGAAGACATGTACAGGGGTAAAATAAAAAAACAATTTCTTGCCAAATTTGAAGGAGAAAAGTCAGTTTATGCAACTTTTAGACATTTGCGGAAACTGTCATACACCTACGATTAGGATTACAATTACACTTACAGGTAGAATTTTAATCTTGGGCCGGTTCAAAGTGTAAATATAAACCGTCGGTTCATAACAAAGACTAACTCCTATGATGTTTTTTTTTATAATCGAACAACGAGATTTCAAAGAAATATCAGTAAAACAAGGCATCTTGGTAGTTTGAGACGGAATCAGGGAAAGTCGGACCAAAGGCAAATCGGACTAAGACAACTCGGGCAAATTTAAAGACAACTCGGTCCAATTTTAAAGACAGCTCCGACCAGTTTGAAAGACAACTCGGACTAGTTTGAAATACATGTCAGACCAGTGGATCTTCGTGGTTTTTACGCTTTATATGATTTTTGTTTGTTTTTGTTTAGATTTGTTTCTTCTTAGTTTCCCCTAACTGACCATCTTAGCTTGCTGTGACATCTTTTCAGTTTGATGCATTTCCATAAGTGATGTTACTATAACTTGTTTTAAGACGGACTAACGAGATCAATTAGAAAAATAAAACAACAAATATCTTTCAGATATATATTCGTCTTTACATATACAGGCCCGTGTTGTAATAAGGATCCTTGAAATCTTTCAAGATGGTTGAAATGCCTTTAATTGACAGGCGCTAAATGGTAATTTTCGACTATCGTTAACGTCAACTTGATTAAATTTATCATTATTTGTCAGAGTTCTCAATTATTTCAACACTACATTTGTACCGTTATAATTGAAAAATATATACCATGATTCGTCATTTTATCGGCATGTAGGAATGAACTCTATGTTTCATTTTGGAGTTTTTGTGGACTTTTGACCATGGTGGAGTCTTTTTTCTTCGACTTATGGGTTCTAAATGCCCCTTTGCATCATTTCCTCGTTTTAAAAAAAGTAAATTTAGTTGCATTACAAATATACATGCATTACATTTTAAATTAAATCAAGTATTTAAAAGTATAGACCCCCCAAGAACTTCGTTAAATATTCTTAAAGCACTAAGGTTGACATTTAAACACGGATGTCTGTGAACTCAATTTTAGATTTAATGTAAGTCAAACAATTTTTAAAAACGATGACTTTTTTTTAAATTTCTTTTGAAATAAAGAAGTTATATGTTATCAAATAAAACTATATTACATCATTCTTGACTTAAATGCTCTTTGTTTGTTTAGATATTTGAATGCACACGAATATTAATTGGATCCGAATCTTAATCAAACACATGACACATCATTTAAAACCAGATATTTTTTGTGTCGCAAAAGGAATAAATTGTAAGCTGAATTTTGTTGTTAAAAAAATATCGCACACTATTTAAGTCGGTTAGGGAGCAGTTCCACATACAAAAGTGTAATTGTATAAAAGATGTTTGATTCCCAATTACTATATACCGCCCGCTTTTGAATAGCGAGTGGAACTATTAATACGGAAAAAATGAATAAATGATAAGTGTATTTCGTGCATTTATTTTATTTTCCCCGTTATAGATGCAGAACACAGATTAACAATGGGAGAATTACCTGCCGTGATGCAGGCTCTACTAGATGTTAAGGTACACATTTCAATCGTCATCTGACTCTAACCCTGGTAGTCCTAGCTTGACTATCGACAAAGCAATATTTCAATCAGGAAAATATTATAGGCAATGATGAAAAATTTTGTCCTGCATTCTTTTTAGTTGTAATCTCTGTCCTGACTTTTTATTTTTCACTCTATTCGGTCTTGTCTTTTTTTTATTAGTTTATCCTGACTTTTTTTTACATAAATCGTCATCCTGCCTTTTTTTTTATTTTTTTTTTTGCAAAGTTGCTCAACCTGCCTTTTTTTTACTCAAAACTCCTGTCCTGCCTTTTTTTCAAATTTTTATCCTAGCACATGGGAGGCTAAACGTCTAACTCCAAGTTTACCCAACTGACACATCCACAGATTTTAGCTGATTATGTCGATTGGTTATCGTTTCACCTCACCATATATTCTTTCACTCTATATTGAGATATAAAA